CAACACATCCTTGCAAGTCATGTGTGTTAAACATCCTATAGCTCTGTGTAATTATCCCTATCGTAATGATTCCATAATTAGTATACATAACCTCTCCACACATCCTTTCACCCAGAGGCTGATTTCAACAACCAACCCTTCCCTACAATCTCATTAAGTATCTGTATAGAAAGTCTATACAGAGAGGTAAGGGTTTTCTAATTTGCCTGCAGCTCCCTGGCACAGCAGATGGGAAACGATGACAGCTCAAGATCCCTGCACAGTCTCTGCTCTCTGTGCTGTCTGCATCAGAGACGTGGTCGTGTTGTAATCTTTTATTCACATCGGTCACAAATAATAGAGTGTCAGCTACAATCCAGTGCACACTGGGCATAATAGAGCTGGGCAAAATTCTGAATTTAAGAATTGGCTTTGTTTCAATCCATGAGTATGAATGCGAATTGAATGCCCCACTGGTCACATTGTTATTTATTTAATAATTTTATTTGGTATATACTGTATGTACACATTATCATTCAAAAGTGTGGGTTTTAAAAGAAACTAATACTTTTATTCATTTAGGACACATTAAATTGATCAAAAGTGACAGTAAAACCTGCGTTACAAAATGCTACAAAAGATTTTCCAATTTAAATAATTCTATTTCTTTTAAACTTCCAATTCAAAGAATCCTGAAAAAATGCATTGCTGCATTTTGTTTCGCCACAAAAATATTAAGCATCACTGTTTTCAACATTGATTAAAAAAATGTTTCTTGAGCACCAAATCAAAATATTAGAATTATTTCTGAAGGATCATGTGACACTGAAGACTGGAATAACAACTGCTAAAAATTCAGCTTTGCCATCACAGGAATAAATTCGATTTTCAAATATATTAAAACAGTTATTTTAAATTGTAACAATAGTTTCACAATATTACTGTTTTTACTGTATTTTTGATCAAATAAATGCATCCTTGGTGAGCACAAATGACTTCTTTCAAAATAAATATATATTTTAATAAACATCATTCAAACTTAAAACATGTTAATACTGTATTTATATAGACAAAAACAACAATAAAATGTATTAATTTATTAATCAATTATAATGCCAGGTGTACGCTTAATAGACTTTTCCTGATAGCATTCTGGCCATCACTTCAGCAGGAGATGCGACTGTTTGCATGCTGATTCAAGAATATCTAAATGCTTTTATAAAGACAGAATATGCAATACAAAATAAAAGGATTATGCAATATGAGTCATGTGTTTTAATATAGCCTACTGTACCATCGAGTTAATCCTCCTGCAACATTATTTAGCAGGCAGAGAATTAAGCCCCATTATAAGCAACCATTACACCGTAATCTATTTTTCCCCCATTTCCTCTTCCAACCAGGAACTGCTGATTTTACACAAAATAATATTAAGAGCAGCAATTTTGGAAAGCAATCCTCTGTGCTCACTTCCGGAATGGGAAACATTAAACCCACTTCACATATTGGTATGTTAGATGTCATACCATTGCAGTAGCTTTTGACCTTGAATCATAGATAAATAATGCACGTGAAACGTAACGCAACCCTGGTCTGAAGCAAAGCCAAGTGCTTTAACAGTGTAACAGCTACCTGTTCCATTATGCACAATCAAGCCCCATAATGGGCCTGTCTGCAAACAACACAGGAGACAGCCATGTGTGACACCGAACACTTTTGGCCTGGATGTGGCACCCCAGTGAAGTTTACAAGGACAGAAGGGAAGGACACACACCTGAACAAGCATGTGGAGGGATGACTGCAATTTGAGAGAAGTGATGATGTGCTTGAACCAAGAAAAAAAGCAAGCTGGAAGCAGGCCTGGTCCACTTTGCCACAGTTGCAGCTGTCAGAAATTATAGGCTGGGGCCCTTTAGAGGTTTTTTCGTGGCCGCTGAGGTCAAAATCAAAAAGGAATGTGTTCCACGAGATAGGCTTTATTACGAGTCTGTGTTTTAAAGACCTTTACTCAAGACCTCAGTGATCCCTGTTAAAGTTCTCCTAAGAGGCTACTAGCCGCAAAAAGGCGGCAGACAGTTAGCAGCTCCCATCAGAACCTAGACTATGAGCCTCGGCCCTTTCCTTTCACTCTGCTGCCCACATCAGCTAGTATGTCGGCTACTGAACCAGTGTCCAATTAAAATCACTCTGCTTGGACTGCTTCCCAGTTCAACTGCATTGGCAGGGAGCTCTAACGTTCAGACTGGGAAAGATGAAAACGAGTGCAATCTCATTCAGCCAGACTAGCATTATCGAGATTTCGAAAGGTGAAGATCATTACAAAGCACTCGTCTTTTCAGAAACAAATTATTTCAAGTGTTTTGCATGACTCGGAGAAGAAATATCATCCTTTCTCGTTATAGAGGCTATGGTAGAAACTTGTGGATTGTTATAAAAGCACTAATACAAACATTATCTGGTAAAAATCAATTATAATGCCAGGTGTATGCTTAATAGACTTTTCCCGATAGCATTCTGGCCTAACCGTATGAACTCAAAGACTCAAATTGCAGTATCTACAGCCATTCACGAGACAGAAACCCTCCATATATTGTAAAAAAAATAAAATAAAAATAAATCCACACAATATTTTCTAGATGCTGTGGTAAGGAAATCAATAGCAACACTGCAGTTCCAGCCCATTCTAATTGCGTTTCAAGTCAGGGATGTTGGGCTACTGTCTGCTGTTTTAGGAGGACCAACAGTGCTCTCTAATGGACGTTTTAAAAAGACACCCTCTTCCAGAATTGGTGAACCACATCAAACTACTTCCTCTTCTTTCACTGTCTCTGAAGATTACAAAAGGGTATCGGCTTCAAACAGGCCCTCAGAAGAAGCAATGCTTCAGCTGCTTCTGTGATCCATCAGAGCACTTCCTGTCTTCAGTGTTGTAATACAAGGTATTAGCAATCATATCAATGATGGCACCTTGCCTGATAGCCTGACCAGCTCCCACATTCATATCACTGACAAAAAAATGAGATGGTCCTCACTGCAGAACACAAGATCCAGGGGGCGAGGTTAGATCCAGATCCAAGTCCTCCCACATTACATATACCTAAACCTACCCGTCTCCACCCCCTGATCCCTAAACCCACCCATCGCTACAATTGATTGCTTCTGTTGTCCTCATTTGTAAGTTGCTTTGGATAAAAGCGTCTGATAAATGACTAAATAAATAAATCTCCACCCCCTAGATGTGGATCCAACCCCGCCCCCTGGATCTTTCTTCTGCAGTGAGGGGCTACTGAAAAAGATGACAAAAAATTACTATTGAACCATAGTTGCTGCCACATTAATAATCACTGTTTGTTGTTAAAAGGACAGAACAATATATGGATTTAACATTTAGTCATTTAGCAGACGCTTTTATCCAAAGCGACTTACAAATAAGAAAATAGAGAACTAATACAAATCAAACTACATTAGTTTATCAGCAATCCTAAAAAAATAACACTGAGACAAACACACATGCTAAAATAACAACTTACTGACACATAGTAAGAAATGGTTATAAAAAAACTGAAACAGAAGTGAAACAAGTAGTAGGAAAGAGGAGAAATAAAAAGCGATACTTATCAAACAAAGTATTTTGGTGGAAACTATGGTTGCCAAGTGTTGTATATTACTGCCCTAAAAATAAAAAAGTATTACAAAAATACTACTACTAATAATAATAGGGTTTTTTTTCAACGTGAATTAAAAAATATATATACAATTAAGATAGATAGATAGATAGATAGATAGATAGATAGATAGATAGATAGATAGATAATGAATTGAATACATGGGGTGTCGCGTGCTTGCTGTGACGGTCGTCATGCCAACATGTTTAGTACACAGATGAACTTGGAGTCAAACTGCTGCTGTGTTTTCAAATCGTGGAACTTCTGGCTATCGCTTGTTAGGTCGTCCATTTCCCGTTTAAAAATAAAATAATTTAATAATATGGCGGTTAGTTTGGTGCCGGATTTCCCAGCTGTAAGGATTGCCTTAGAGCATTTGGGCGAGTTAGGTAAGAAACTGTCTTTGTAGGCTATTTTGTGAACGCACGAATTCATACGCCAACTAGCGGCAAGAACACAGATTTCAATATGAAGCCATCATTATCGATATATGAATTATATAAATTGACCTCTAATTTAGCCTATCTGTGAAGTGATGAATTCTTTGACACCTTACAGATAAACGACTGAGGGAAGAAGGGGTTTCATTTAGTCAAGAAGCAAGTCACCACCTGAGAGAGACCGCTGAAGCCATTAAAGAGCTGGTATTTTCAAGTATTTACATATTTTTTTAAACTTTAATCATAAAATACATGGGTTGTGGGTTGCAAAAAATGGGTAAAATATTCAGAATATTTAGTATGTATCCAATGTGTAATTTCTGTTACGCAGTCATGTCCTATATGTATGTCCTTTAACATTATGAATTATGAAATTCAGAATTTTAAGAGATGAAAATCATATCAAATTGTTTCTTTTGTCATAGTGGAGTCAGTTCAGTTTGACTAGATGTTGCCATTTTGAGTGCAATCCACAATAGGCTACCATCTAACAAAATAAATCGGTAATTTCAGGTGTTTCTTTTTATATCCCTTTCTCTAATCAAATTGTTTCAAACAATTTTTTTTTCTCTAAATATTGTTTTGACTGAGAAACACTCAAACATCAATATCACTTTATATCCTGCTAACGGTACACGTTACAGAATTAAAATGATACTGCTTGACAGGCATGACCCATGTAGGCTATGTGTTCATTTCACTGTGGCATTCATATTTAGGAATTATCTAGAAAAATAGCACGCGAGAAACTTGAAATTGCAACTATTGAGACAAGCAAGCTTCGACATCGAACAATGAACCTAGAGGATGACATCAGAAGTGAAATATCAGGTGAGTTCCTCCACAAATCCTTGGAAAACTGTTGAATCCATGAAGTATACGTCTAAATATTGGGCCATCTCTGGCAACAGCTCACCTGTAGCATAATGGTGGTTGGGAAACTGCTCCGGTAACTTCTTAAAGTTGTTTGTTGTTGTTGTTTTTGAAGCTTGTGTCACTGCAGCGAGAGAAGACAATGCTGCAGAGATTAATCGACTTCAGTCTGAGCTGAAAACTGTAGTAGATGACATACAATCCATGGAGGAGAAGCAACAACTCATTGAACAAGAAAATGCTGCTCTGATGTGAGTATTCAAACATGTTGACTGAAGGGGGTCTTGGGAAATGTAGTTCACATTGCTATTTCTACCATTTACTTCCCCCATACTCATTAAATCTGAAGTGCATACATGATTCAGTGCAATTGAAATAATTTAGGGTGAGACTATCTTTTTTTCTGACCAATGGCAGTTGAGGGGGGTGTTTGAGAAACCTGTTTGAAAACAGTCATTATTTTGTTCGGTACCACAGAAATAACACACAAATATGATCAAATACATGTTTACTTCTTCCTGTAATTATATTTCAGTCGGGAGAAAGAAAACATTAAAGGAAACTATGAAGATGATGTTGACCAGATGAATCAGCAGCTGTCAAACAAAGCTAGTATACAGATGATGTTAACAGAAAAACAGAATGAGATTCAGTCACTGAAGGACAAAATTGTCCAGGCGAAAACGGCCCAACAGGACCTAAAAGAAAACATGATTCAGAAGAGTAAAACATTTGCTGAAAGCAAACATGCTGTGGAAATAGAGGTAGACTTAGCTTGTTTGTTTGTTTTTTTCAAACAGGATATATTTTCACTCAAAAGCTGTGATTCAGTTCATATTTTCCCTCTTTAGATAGAGGAAATTGCTCTTAAGATTAAAGAACAAAGAAAAACCAATGCAGGAACACGCAAGGAGCTGGATATCTTTACATCAGAACTCAAAGACAAGGAGGAGACAATCACACAGTGTAAAAAAGTAAGCATCTACATACTTTGTACCGTGTCTAAACAATATTACAATAATGTTGGCATAGAACGATTGGTATGGCTTGCTTTATTCATCTGGTTTCAGCATATATCCCAGATGGAGAAAAACATCGCAAGAATGGCAGCATCTAAAATTATGTACAAAGAATGGCTTCATGAGGAGAAAAGTCAGAAAGACGAACTTGATCGTCAAACGTAATCAGTGACTGGTTTTAACATCAAGCAGTTCTGTTTCCTTCACCTCTGGTCAACAGAAATCAGCTTTTGTTATTCATAATCAACAGGGAGTCTCATGAGCGTGAACTTCTTGAACTGGCAGAAGCAATTGAGCAGAAAGTTCAGGTCCTTCAGGAGCAGATGGTGGAGGTAAGTACAGGTAGACATCTTTGTGAAACTCCTGACACTAAACGAATGGCTGCTCCATAATACACTCTTTTCGGACGGGATCAAAACCCTCAAATCTCTGTCTTTAGATGTCAGATCTGAAGCATCGATTTCCTGCCTCTGGCCGGTACCGCTGAGCACCATCACATTGAGCTTTTAAAATGCTTTCCTTCAAAGACACAATGTGCATAGATGACCTTTAACACAGTTGAGTGCTGGACTGCCCTTAGATGTTAGATAGTTCAAGCAGTCAATAGATCTGCACCTGGTCTGGATACATGAACATCTATCTATCCATATATCTATCTAGGCTACCGACGGTATACGGTGATGCTGGTTATGCAAGAGACAGGAGTCGATTACGTGTCAGTGTTAAAATAAATTCAAATTGGAATATAAATAAATAAAAATGACAAGAACACGTAATAAAATAAAATGGTAATATTAAAATGAAACTGAAAATATAAAAATACAAGCTATTTCAAAATATTAATAAATACTATAATAGTATATAAACAATACTAAATAACACCGTTACCAGTGCAAAATTACATATTGGTTAAAAGAGGAAACATTATGAATGAAGCTTGCTTAATAAAAATAGTTTCTTAATCAATAACCTAAATAGAATAGCCTTAAATAAGGTATAGTCGACTAATAAACAGTTTGCAGCTCATTCAGTTATTTAAACAATAAAAGTATTACTACAATGAATAAAACACCACTATCTAGAAGAAAAACTTCTATATCTGGTGTTGTAGAGGTTTGGAGATAACCCTAATTTAACTTTATTTTATTTTTTCAGTTTAATTTTAATTTCATAAAGAAAAAGAAAGAAAGAAAGAAATTCTCTATCTGTCTATTTAAACTTCAGGGTAGTATTGATTGTACTGAATTTCATTTATTCTGATTTTAATAAAACAATTGGACAGAATGGTTTTCAATATCAGTGACATTTTAATGACATTTGTTGAAGGTGCTTGAATGTCATGCAGAAAACCTACATTTTAAGTATATGTTTTTTAATGCATATTAAAATATTTCAATATATAATATAATGCTTAATATTAATTTATTATTTTTACATTGTATAATATTTAATGTAACAGATCTTAAATTCTTTTGATTTTGGGGATCTAATCCATCCCTCATGGCTCGTTTCCACCGAGAGATGATGGTGAAATTTAATCTGGGTCTAAATCCGTTACCTAACACTGTAAGGAGCTGTGATTTCTTCTCAGATTGAAAATGAGATAAAGGAAGAACAGAAAGTGAAAAGTGCTCTATCAGAGCCCCTCGCTAAACTGTCAGACATCTTCAGCACTCAGCGGAAAGAGGAAGATGACGCGATTGCTGAACAACACAGTCTGTCCAAACGGTACATTCATCTCTTTTATACCCTTTCTTCTTTGCTTTATCATGATGACTAACTTGAAATGTTTAGATTTCAAGTGATCAATGTGTTCCTTTGTTTTAGGTTAGAGGAGAATAAACTGAGACATGATGAAGACATTATATCCATTGCCAAATGTAGATTTGAAATCAAAAACATGAAAGAAGAGATGAGACAGCTTCACGACGCTAACATGTATGACCCTGTCTTTTGTTTTATGACTTTGTCTTACTACATTACAAGTAAATGGTAAAAAACAGCTACATACTGTGTGGTTGTCTCTCAGAATCAATGCAGATATGTTCAAAAAAACTCTGGAGGAACTGGAAGGTCAGTTGGCCAAACACAACATGAGCAGGTCTGTTCAACATCTTATTTGAATCTTTTATAATATATCTTCTACAGGGAACTAAACTGCAAAATGTACTTGAGAAACAAAATTGTGCACAATAATAATAAAAAAAAAGAAGAAATTCATATACCCCAAATAAACGTAGTACTGAAAACATGAAAAAAACCAAGCAGTTTATCTTGAATAAAGCTTCTCTTTGTTAAGAAATTGGCATTTTTTCTTTATAAATTAATTGTATAAATTAATTCTTGACTTTGTCTTACTACATTACAAGTAAATGGTAAAAAACAGCTACATACTGTGTGGTTGTCTCTCAGAATCAATGCAGATATGTTCAAAAAAACTCTGGAGGAACTGGAAGGTCAGTTGGCCAAACACAACATGAGCAGGTCTGTTCAACATCTTATTTGAATCTTTTATAATATATCTTCTACAGGGAACTAAACTGCAAAATGTACTTGAGAAACAAAATTGTGCACAATAATAATAAAAAAAAGAAGAAATTCATATACCCCAAATAAACGTAGTACTGAAAACATGAAAAAAACCAAGCAGTTTATCTTGAATAAAGCTTCTCTTTGTTAAGAAATTGGCATTTTTTCTTTATAAATTAATTGTATAAATTAATTCGTATTTTTTATTATCATGCACATTTTAGCTAAGAAGACAACAATACAGTTTAATTTTTTTGAGAGAAAAATCAATTCATTAAAAACTGAAATAATAGAATACATAAAACAGATAAATCGTTTAGCAAATTAACAAATATCAGATGGTTTAATTCATGTTTAAATGTGGTTAAATGTAAAAATAAATAATGTTTAAAATGATTTTAACTTGATCTACACATGTCACAATAAGAATTGTTATTCATCCTCAAATCATGGTTTACATGGTCATTATCACATTAACATTTTTATATCCAGGGCAGCAGTTGAAGCTGAGAGAGAGAAAATAGATAAATCTCGCAAAACCCTTAAAGAGGAACACGAGGAGTATGTAATGGAGATCAATGCAGTCATCGAGCAAACAGAGAAGAGATATGGAGAGCTGCTTGATGAGGTCTGACAGAAACACTAGACAGTAGTGGTGGAAATGCAAAGACAAGTCACTGTATCTAAGGCATGTTGTTGTTTTTGTAGAAGAAGAAACTCCAGAACCATATATTATTGAATTCGGTGATAAAGGATCTTGCAGAAGAGCTGGCAAATTTAGAGGAAGTGGGAAAACAACTGGAAATGAACTACCAGGCTGAAATTCAACATCTTACAGTAAAAGAGAGAATCCATATTCATACACTTATTATAGGCTCAATAAAACATTTCAAGAGGAATGTGGTTTAGCTAAGCGTGCATCTGAAAACTAAAAATGCATGTCTTGTGTCTCAAAAGAGGGATGTAGAATCAATCACTCAAGCTCATACGGAGAAAGAGCAGGAGCTCAAGGACCAGGAGTCGATTTTAGAGACGGTGGAATCTCGGTTTGACATTGACCACCTCAAACATCAGACTTTAAAAAAACAAATAACAGGTACAAACTTCATTTCTATTCTCCTCATGTAGCTCAACACTGCACCATACATAAACTATGGAGTCACGAACTGGCCACCTGTTGTTTCTCAGCTAGCGTTTGCTTCTTTATGAGATATGATTTACAATATATAACTGGGTCATTCTATAATTGCAAATAACTGAAATGAGAAAGAATAGAGATTGACTTTTGCACTGTAAATGGATGTTTTTGACAGTTTCGCATTGGCAAATTCAATGGCATTTGTAGGATACCTGAACTTCTAAATGTTTTTGTAATAAATTTGTGATTTTCTTTTTTTTACCAGAGCTGGTAGCCCAAAGAAAACATCTTGAGGTGTCCATTGAGGAGGTCACAAAACAGACTGCTGCTCTCCTACAACCAAAGGTCAACATTAACTAAGCATTTTCCAATCGTGTGCTAGTTTACTTGATGGCTTTAGTGTCCATTTATATGTTTGTAGGAAGATCTGAAAAGAGAGTTAATGACTTTGAGGGCCAAGCATATGGAGATGTTAACTGCCAACACTGCAGTGATCAGTGAAGTCGAAAAAAGCATCTATGAGAATAAGGTTATGCTGGAGCAAGTTACGGTGGAAAACAGTCGCCTGCATGTGGTGAAAACTCACACTAAT